CTACTGCTTGGTTTTTCTTGAATTATGCTCCTCTTCCTCCTCCTCCATCTTTTCAGTTTCCTTTACAATACGTAGATCATATGTCATTAAATTCTAGGGCATTCTGCACCAAACAATGATTGACCTGTCTTAGGTACAAAAGTCCCTTTAATCTGTGATGATGGATACAACTTTTCTTTAAGTGTTCCTTTGAGAATGTATCTCAAAAGTATTAATAATTACCTGGAAAGTAACTGTGGCTGTAGCAAGTGCTGGAACTTGGAGTCGTAAATTATCATTCTAGTATCAGTTCTGAAACTGATGTAGCTATAACATTTAGGCAAGTCACCTAATCTCATAGACCTCATTTATGAAAATATAATGATAATAATACGTCATACACAGGGTTGTTATGGGGATTAAATGAGATTATTACAATGTAAGTGTTACTCTAAGAGTTATAAAGTTGGAAGGCAGTACAACTAAGAGAGTAGGTAACTGCAGGGTTGCCCACTTAACCATTAGCAGACAGGTATTTGGAGTCAAATGCCCTATAGCATGGTGAGGATTAAACATTAAACTACAGATACTTGTCATTGAGATTAGCATTATTACCATGGTTTAATATTTAATTCTCACTGTTCCCTAGGGGACCAGACGGACTCTGCGGAGAATGTAGATTTAGACATTCCTGACTATTTGAATCCCAAACTGAAGTCCATACAAAATAAAAACACCTCATAGACGTAACAGAAGAGTCACCCCATGAGGCATTCTAAGAATGCAATTTCTTCATGGTGACTAGTTTTTAACTGGTCAAGTGGATAGGCTCTCAGCAATCTTGCTCCTCTGGGAATAATGAAAACATTACATTGAAGGTTTTGTCTGTGGGTTGTGCTTTTGGAGCTAAGTTTTTCTGCTATAAGGGGTGTATCATGAAGAAAACAAACCCAACCAAAAAGTTGGAATTCATGGAAATTCACCAAAATTGCCTGGCTGCTGCAGCCCAACAGTTCTTTAGTTCTTTTCAATCATCTTTATTTTGGATTTAGTTGGAATCCTTGGTCTTTAATCCAATTTTGAGCAGTACACTGTCCCTAATTAAGGCATAAGGAATCTTGGAATTTTAAAAGAGCCACAAAATGTCAAACCCAAGATGCTAGTTTTTGGTCTTGTTCGTTTGTAAGGGTGGAAGGATTTTACATCTTAGTTTGTACTTACTCTGCTCCCAGCGGCTTTTGCTTTGCTCACATCTCACACAGAGCATACTTAATTCAGTGAATTGATGTGGGTGTATGGCAAGCACTGCGGTGAAGCTAAGAAAAAATGTCACAATTGGGAAGGTGAAAAAGGTGTTCCAAGTATGCACTGAAACTTGCATATACTCTGGGGCCTCCGAGTTTTCTGGGAAGAAATGAAAGCAAAACAGTGGCTGGGAAACTAGCTTAGCACATAGGTATAAGGATGGAACAGCTTCTTTTGACCATTTTCAGAGAAAGTCATAAAGCACAAGTTCTTGAACTTTTGCCAGCAAAAAGTGTAACCCTTTTATTTATAGGTGGCATTCATTAGAACTGGGCCTTTGTGAGCCTATCCCAGACTGTGGTCACTTGGTTTAGTCAACTGCTGGCTCCTCTGGGAGAACACATCCCCTTTTAGCAGAAATAAGGGGCAAGGAGAACCACTGGGTAGCAGCGATCACAGTGATTCCCAATAGAAACCAACTCGCAAAAGCCCTGTAAAGAATAGCCCTGCTGTATTCCACGCCAGTGAGCGCGACTTACACACAGCACGGGTGCGGCAGCGTGGGTCCACAAACAGCTGGTTTACTTTGGTTTACTTACGTTGGCCAGAATGGTGCCCTCGGGACAAACCACAGACGGAGATCCGCCCGGGGAATTCCCGGTTCGTAGGCTCACCGTGTCCTTCGATCCCCATCCAGCCATTTCTGTACGATCGCTGTTGTCGTCCCAGCGGAACCCCATTTCTTCCCTCTCTTTTGTGGTTGTAAGAATGAAAAACCGGCCGGGCGCGGTGGCTCACGCCTGTAATCCCAGCACTTTGGAAGGCAGAGGCGGGCGGATCACGAGGTCAAGAGATCGAGACCATCCTGGTCAACATGGTGAAACCCCGTCTCTGCTAAAAATACAAAAATTAGCTGGGCGTGGTGGCGCGTGCCTGTAATCCCAGCTACTCAGGAGGCTGAGGCAGGAGAATTGCCTGAACCCGGGAGGCGGAGGTTGCGGTGAGCCGAGATTGTGCCACTGCACTCCAGCCTAGCGCCTTATGACAGAGTGAGACTCTGTCTCAAAAAAAAAAAAAAGAATGAAAAACTTGATGACTTCTTTCTCTTCATCATGGTTACTTCTCAAAGTGTCTTGGTGACCACGTCATTATTGCCTGATTCTACTGATCTAATAAAGTCTATTTCTATCAACAAAATATAACTATGTGTGGCCAGGTATTTATACCTTTTCACAAATGAAATTTCTTAAAAATAGATTTCCCATCTAGATTAATTTATCAAGTAAAATTTCCCTGTATTTTAATAAAATAAGTTTTCCTAATCTCAACAGATGTTAGTCACAAACATACATCACACATGGGAAAGGATAAAGCTCATTAGTGCTGTTTATTTATCTTTCAAATGCTACTGAATTTTTACATGAGTTTGTCTATCAGTTTATTAGTTGTTCTTAAGAAATAAATATAAGATTGAATTTTCTGAATATAGTTGAATTTCATAGTTTAGCATTTCATACAACAGAAATAATCAGCCAATGCTTTTGCCTGCCGTTTCCATGAAGATTTTATTTATCTTAGAAGTGATTAATATAGAGTGACTATAAATAATATAAGTTTAAATAGAATAGTTTATACATTATTTATTTTTGCTATGTTGTTTGTTAGGCTTTACATGTCATTAAAAAACAAAACAAACAAAAAAAAAAAACTAATAATCCTCTTAGCCTGGAATTTTTCTTTACCAAACTTTCCCTCCATTTTCAGGAAGGAACCAATTATCCAGAGGCTTTTAGGTTAGTCATTTCTTTTTCTTTTTCTTTCTTTCTTTTTTTTTTTTTTTTTGAGGTGGAGTTTTGCTCTTGTTGCCCAGGCTGGAGTGCAATGGTGCAATCTCAGCTCACTGCAATCTCTGCCTCCCAGGTTCAAGCGATTCTTCTGCCTCAGCCTCCTGAGTAGCTGGGATTGCAGGCACATGCCACCATGCCCGGCTAATCTTGTATTTTTAGTAGAGATAGGGTTTCTCCATTCTGATCAGGCTGGTCTCGAACTCTCGACCTCAGGTGATCTGCCTGCCTCAGCCTCCCAAAGTGCTGGGATTACAGGCATGAGCCACTGCGCCCAGTTTAGATTAGTCACTTCTTAAGAAGTTAGATCATCCAGTACTGCATCTTAGCCAGCTGTCCAAGGTCAGCAAAATGCTGTGGCATGTTCTGTTTGATGGCCCAGGCAGAAAGCCACAGCATTCTCACTATTAATATCTTCTGACCTGTCAACTTACAAATAGAAGCATCCTTGTGGCCATTTTTTTTTTTTTTTTTTTTTGGTATATTCCTGAAAAACTAAGGATCTAAGGTTTGAGATAAGAAATACTTAATTTAATTAGTGTTAAACCATAATCCTGGGCTTTTATGTAAAAATGCACTGTTTATTTCTTTTTTCTTTTTGAGACAGGATCTCACTCTGTCGCTCAGGCTGGAGCACAACGGTGCGATCTGGGCTCACTGCAACCTCTGCATCCCAAGCTCAAATAATCCTCCTGCCTCAATTTCCCAAGCAGCAGGGACTGCAGGCATGCACCACCATGCCTGGCTAATTGTTGTATTTTGTGTAAAGGCAGGGTTTTACCATGTTCTCCAGGCTGGTCTCGAACTCATGAACTCAAATGACCTGCCCACCCCAGCTTCCCAAAGTGCTGGGATTACAGACGTGAGGTATCATGCTCAGCCACTGTTTATTTATTTCATAAAATTTTCTTAAACACCAATTATGTGCAAGTTACCAGCCTGGGCCCCTGAGAAACAAAGATGAATCAGTCAGATGTACCCTCAAGGAGCTTATGGTCTAATTGGAGAGAAGAAATATAGCAAAATGCCATAACATATGGCAAAAAGCAAGAAGTACCACAAGAGACGTATAAATAAGATGATTTGGGGGTTCCAAAAATAGATTATTAAATTTTGTGGGCTGGCAGCAAAGGGGGAGGGAATTCGTAATTAATCTGAGAAGATGACATTTGAGCTTGCCCTTAATGGACAGAATTTAAAATGTAGAGTGAAGACCTAAGTGCAGATATTTCAGATTGAGAGAAGAGCATAATTAGGGCATGGAGGTCAGAAAATATGGGTAATAAAAAAAGATTCAAGTAGTTCAGTTTAGTTAGAGAACAGGGTACATGAATTAAAAAACCATTGGAACTGAAATCAGAAAATTAGTTTGAGACCAAATCTAGAAAACTATTAACACCAGATGACAGAATATAGGCTCTATTTTACAGATAGCGGGAGCCTGCCGAAGGGGAATGCCACATTCGACTTGTGCTTCAGTGTTGGACTATGTTGGAAAGGGGGTGGTGACTGTGAGTGAGACCGCCAACCCATCAGGCATGCTCTGTAACAGTCTAATAAGATATGGCTTCGGGTTTCTTGGGGAAAAAAAAAAAAGAAAAAAAGCCTGAAGCAAGGATTGAAGTGCTGATATTTTATAGGGGAACTGCATGACCAGGTCAGACAGGCTGTGGAAGAAGGAAAAAGCGGAAGTGAGTATAGGAAACGATGCAAAATCACACCTCGCACAGCTGGCTCCTGTGTTGGGATGAGCCGTTAGAGATGAGGCACGTGAGGCTCAGCAGGTCTGTTCTTTTGGCACACAGGATATCTTGCAATGGATGCAGAGAGGGACCATGTCTCTAGCGTTCTCAGGGAAGAATAAGGGAGAAGTTTCTCTTCCCACCTACCTCCCATTGCCTGTTTCTCATCGGTCAAAACTTGTCCCCCTAGGAATGAACTCCCTCACATTTCCAAGTTTACATCATATGACTGCTCCGACTACAGGGGATGCCAAAGCCCAAACCTGATGTATGTATGGTGCTCCTGTCTCATCCAGGTCTGTAAGTGAGGGGAAGAGCCAGAACCTCTAGGTAAGTACTAGGTGGTTTGGCTGTGAGTGTGTGAGTGTGTGTGTGTGTGTGTGTGTGTGTGTGTGTGTGTGTGTCTGTGGTTGAGGGGTGGAATGTTAAGGGGATCTCTGAGGCAAGTCCCCGGTCAGCCTCAGCCAGCTGAACTGTGCTGGGCAGGTATGGTAGCTGAGTAGTTGAAGGTCCTAGAAGTGGGCAGTGGCCACGGTGTGTAAAGAGGCACGGAAGATTTGTGTTGAGATGATTCAAGGGAAAAGAAAGACCCTTCATACTTCAGTTAGTGAAGAATTCTTTTGGTGGGCAATCATGCACTTGGGGTTCACTTGTCTTCTCTGTAACGTTATTTAGAAAATCACCTCCCTCTCAACTACGAAGACTGAGCACCACTGGCTTCCAGATATTTTTGTGTATTATCTGAGTTCGTAGGGTTTGAGTATCACATTTCTTTCCTTCCAATTCTATGATTTACCATCATAAAGTTCTGGCATATGCAGCCCAGTCTTTGGAAGAGGGGTTGAGAACTATGTAATATCAGGTTTAGCATTATAAAGTAACATCTACCATCTGAGGATGGGACTATAAACACCGGTCTGGACACAATAGAGCATGCTTAGACCACTTGTTTGGAACTGCGAGGAAAATAAGGTCATACAAAAGAGCCCTCTGCCCTTAAGAAAGAGTTTGCAACTGCAAATCACTTCTGAGTACCAGTGGGGAAATGCAATAATTTATTCTCAAGACTGAAAAGAGAAAAGAGACCTTTTTACCACTTTATGTGTGTGGATGCCATGTGTGTGTGTGTGAGAGAGAGAAAAAAAAAAAAAAAATGTGTGTTTTACCTACCTAAAGCCAATGGTAGCCAAATTTACCCTTTTTTTTCTTGGAATTTTTTTCTTAATCTAAAACAGGCTTGGTGCTCTGGAAAAAGAATTAGAATTGCATTCAAATAGTCAGGCTTCAAGTTGCTTCTGCCTCTGTGTGAAGCAAATAGTAACAACTCACTTTGAAACTCAGGCTCCTGGACTGCAAATGCAGGTAATGATACTCACCCTACCAATCTCAGGGACTGTTCTAAGAATGAAATGAAATGATATTGAGCTCTGAAAATGCTTAAATGCTTTCCAAAGTAGAGTGATTGTGCTTTCTGTAGCATCAAAGACAGTCCTCTGTAACTGGGCAAAGTCAAGGCATGGACCGGATCTGACAACAGAGACTGGCTTGGCGGCTGGAAAAAGAAGAAAACGTCCCGAATCTCTGCTTCCCTTACGGTGTAGAAACCGCCCCATAGCACACTGCACCAGGTAGGGTTAAATTGATCCCAAATGTCTCAAGAATTTTTAATGCCTTTCGAAGAGACACAGCCAGTTCTTTATCTGCCGAAAGTAATGCTGCTAACCTACCGTCAGTTTCCTCAGTGCTTTGAAGATTTCTCTAAAGTCATTTGACTTCGTTTCCCTTTGATTTCAAATTCCTGCTTAACCACTTATTATAGGTATGACCTTGAGCCTTTTTAACTCATGTGAGCCTCTCAGTTTCCTCATCTATAAATTGTGAATAAAAAGAGGTTACTGTAGGATGATTAGAAATTTTAGAAATAATACTTCTAATACTAGCATAGTGCCTGATCCATAGGCATTCAGGAAATGCCAGCTAAGATCACTAATTATTGTCATCATCTTTAGCATCATACACTAGACCAGACAATCCCACATTTAAATCTGCTCTGTCACTTGTGAAAAGTGTAACCCTGAACAGCTTAAGAAAACTTTTTGAAGTTCAATTTTGAGATAATGACGGATGCTTTCAGAATTCGTGAGAATTTCAGAGGTACCAGCAATAGGTTGAAATGGTGAGCCCTCCAAAAGATATATCTATGTTCCAAACTCAGAACATGTGAATGTGACATTATTTGGGAAAAGGGGGTTTTGCAGATATAATTAAGTTAAAGATCCTGAGATGAGATCATCCTGGATTATCTAGATGGGGCCCAAATCCAATAACGAGTGTCTAAGACAGAGAAAGACACAAAGAAGAGGAGAAGGGAATGTGGCCACAGAGACAGTGACCGGAGCAACGCAGCCGCAAGCCAAGGAATGCCTGGAGCCACCAGAAGCTGGAAGAGGAAAGGAAGGATTTTTCTTTCCCCTATTGCCTTGGGAGGAGCATGGCCCTGATAACAATTTCATTTCTGACTTCTGGATTCCAGAATTATCAGAGAATAAATCTGCATTGTTTTAAACCACTATGTTTGTGGGAATTTTTTCTAGCAGCCCTAGAAAGCCAATGCAGTGTTTAATACAGAGTGCCGGGTACCATGTTGACATATGACAAGAGCTCAGCACATGGTAGTTGCATAGTGGCTTCCCCACCTGTCCTCACTACTTCCTCAATGAGTAAATGCCTGTATAATCCATAGGCAGCCACATGAGAGTCTGCATCCAGGGAGCAGGGGGTACGGTTAGCCTCAGTCCATGCTAAGGGAGAAGCCTGACCTTAGTCTGGTTAACGCCACGCTCTACCACAGGCAATTGACACCAGGGCTCTCCCATTTTATAATAGCACAGTCTCATTATGCATTAAAGAGTTCATTCTCCTGAAACTCTTACTGCCCTCAAAGGTTTGAAATTTAAAAATAACACATCAACAAATCTCTGTTCAAAAAAAATGAATAATATACTTAAAGGTTCTTCTGTAACAATAGTCCGCCTCTTCCTGAAGTGCTATAAAAATTCAGGGAGCAACTTCACCCACTTGTGAGAGATAAAAGAATAGCAACTGAAGCAGGCAGTCAGACCAAGGCAGGGGGCAGCTTATTGTCTCTGGGTTGAAAACCACCCTGAATGCTAAAAGAAATCACTCTAAAGAGGGGTGTGTGGGTGCATATTGACAGACTTCAGAAGCTGAGGTTTCTGAGCTTAGCCTCCTGAATGAAGCAGGACTTTTGACATACTACCCCCTGGGGCCGCTGCCTTAGGTGTGATGCTATCAGAGCCAAGTATCTGTCTGTGGAGGGGTCCAAAATTTACACACCATGGAAGAGATGGAGCAAACACACATAGCTTTTTTTTTTTTTTTTTAGGTTTCTATAACAGATTCCAGCTTCCTTGTGAATCCACATCCTGTAGGGCAATTGTTAAAGCGAACCTTTATACAGTGATTGCTGTGTATCCCGGGCACTCTTTTCAGTGCTTGAGATATATTAACCATTTAATCTTCATGCTTCCTAGGAGGAAGTACTGCCAGGATCCCCATTTAGCAGAGGAACAGCCAGTGACAGCGATTTAAGTTGTTTGCCCAAGGCCACATAGCTAGCAAACGGTGCCAATTCAAGAGCAGGTCACCTGACTCAAGACTTTATGCTCTTTGTCACTATACTAAACTGTGAGAAATAAAATTAAACTTGCCAATTAAAATCCCATCTCAGATGTACACTTTCAAATGAAATCAATTTCTTTTGAGTAAATGCCTCTCACTTATGGGAGCGGGACTTCTGGTGGCCATGCTGGTCCCTGGGCGATGAGTGGACATCCACTCCTGGCAAGCCCTGTGTCTGTTCTCTGTTGCTCTCTTTCCCTGGCTGGTCTCTGGCTGGGCACCATCCTACCTCTGGCTGCCTCATGCTGTGAGAAGGTGGTCATGAGTGTCCATCAGGGCCCCTCTTCCACAGGCATTGGGCAAACCTCCACAGGTCCCCTTCTGCTGGCATCGCGGGTCCGCGGAGGTATGTCCACACTTCACCCCAGCCATCCACTCCCTCAGCTTTGGCACTCAGTACCTTCAGCTGGCTGAGCAGGCTTTTTGTCTTCCTCCTAGGACCACCGGAAACCTAGGAGTCCTTCCAAAGCCAACCTTGGCTCCCAGGAGAAGGAAAGGACTGCCTTTATCCTTTCCCACCTCACATCATCCTCTCCGGACTCTCCTTGGGGCTCCCAAGCCATTTCCAAACCACCACAGACGCTGCCCCACAGGGGTGTCCAGTTTTCTCAGTCTACTCTCAGGGAGTTTGAAATGTAAACATTACAACTCAGATGTGCAAAGAAAGAAATGTAGCTCTTTCTTTTTCTTCTTCTTCTTTTTTTTTTTTTTTTTTTGAGACGGAGTCTGGCTCTTACTACCCGGGCTGGAGTGCACTGGTGCAATCTTTGCTCTTGCAACCTCTGCCTCCCGGGTTCAAGCGATTCTCCTGGATCAGCCTCCTGAGTAGCTGGGATTACTGGCATGTGCCACCAAGCCTGGCTAGTTTTTGTATTTTTAGTAGAGACAGGGTTTCACCATGTTGGTCAGGCTGGTCTTGAACCCCTGATCTCAACTGATCTACTCGCCTCGGCCTCCCAAAGTGCTGGCATTATAGGCATGAACCAACGCACCCAGCCAGCTCTTTCTTATTTTCTTTCTTTCTTTTTTTTTTTTTTTTTTTTTTTTTTTGAGACGGAGTTTCGCTCTTGTTACCCAGGCTGGAGTGCAATGGCGCGATCTCGGCTCACCGCAACCTCCGCCTCCTGGGTTCAGGCAATTCTCCTGCCTCAGCCTCCTGAGTAGCTGGGATTACAGGCATGCGCCGCCATGCCCAGCTAATGTTCTTATTTTCTATTATGTATCCCAACTTGCTATGGGGCCCCATTCCCAGTCAGTAGCAGAAACATTTAAAAACAAACTTAAACTTCAGTCTCTTCTTTCAGGAAGATCTCTTTCAGTTTAACCCATCCTTTTGGGGGGTAAATATTCAACCAATTCAAAATTAAATTCCTTCTTAGTGCGGATTTTTTCAGATTTTTTAAGGGGGCCTTTTTTCCCCTCTTCCTTTCCAAGACGGCCTCTCAGGAGTGAGGGAGGTTGAGAGTGGGCACATTAGTTCTCTAGAGACGAGGTCTTCAGTGGTCTGGTCTGGTCTCTGATGCCCTCTGCTGGTATCCGCCAAGGTGTGGCTAGTCCTCTCTGGTCCACTGGTGGACTCGGGGTCCCTGCCATAGCCTCATGATGTGAAGCCTTCACCCTTTGTGACCACCTTGACTTGTCCCTAGGCCTCTGCACAGTTACTGGTTTATCAAAACTTCTGTGAACCCCTTTCAGGTTCATGTGAAACCCTGGGTTGTCCCACATACCGTTTGGACTGCGGACATACCATTTGGCTAGGGACAAGGGCTAAAGAAAAGTTATCCGGACACTTGTTAAAATGGTAAGACTTTATTCAAGACTGTTGTGATAGAGATGATGTCTATTGCAATAGGGGAAAGAGATTGGGTTTAACTCTGAATACAGAAGAGACCGCTGAGGATTTATAGTCAATGAGCAGAGTGAAGGAGTTGGTGGGTTAAAAATTACTAAGAAGAGATATTAAGTGTAGGGGGATTCTTGCTAAACTGGCCTTACAGCGTTCTTGCTAAAGGCAGGCTAAGGACTTACACATCAAAGTGAGGGATGAGGAACCTGATCAGATATCTAGGATGGGGAATGATTTAGCAAGATCCTTCATTAAGACTGGGCTAGAGGCCGGGTGCAGTGGCTCACACATGTAATCTCAGCACTTTGGGAGGCCAAGGCAGGCGGATCACCTGAGGTCGGGAGTTCAAGACCAGACTAACCAACATGGAGAAACCCCATCTCTACTAAAAATACAAAATTAGCTGGATGTGGTGGTGCATGCCTGTAGTCTCAGCTATTTGGGAGGCTGAGGTAGAAGAATTGCTTGAACCCAGGAGGTAGAGGTTGCACAGTGAGCAAGATTGCACCACTACACTCCAGCCTGGGCAGCAAGAGTAAGACTTTGTCTCCAAAAAAAAAAAAAAAAAAAAAGACTGGGCTAGGGGACTTAAAGTCAGGATGAGACCAAGGTCAAGGCCTGGTCATGAACAGGACTCAGAAGAGCCTGACCAAAATTTGGTCAATAAAGAGAAAATCTTTATTACCAGACAGCATCTCAGGCAAATCTATCTGAACATCTATCAGCCTAGACGTTCTCAGATGCTTTTGCACCCACGCTATCTGTGGTTTCTATCACCTGCCTCTTCACCCTTTGATTAAAATCTGGAGGGTTTGAGGTACCTTTCCAGGGACCCAAACAGCATCCCCACCCTGAGTGAATTCCCTCTGATCTCTCTGCTTTCTACTGTTTCTTTCTTTCTTGTATCTTCCGTTCTCTCTATCCTGTGCTCATAGTAAAACTCTAATCCAAGATGGAGTTTCGTATGTAAAAGAGAAGTCTGAGAATAAAAAAATAACTCCTTTTCTCTCTCAGCATAGGCTAGCTGAGACAATATTATTGTCTTTCTTTAGATTAAATCCAACTTGGAAAGTCAAAAACCAAACCCTGACACTTTCTCTTCCTTTGTACTTCAACAATATTGATCATACCTGACATAATAAACACCTCTAACTGGATGAGGAAGGTCACGCAAAAGGAAGTTCAAAAAAGAAATACATACTAATATATTTCGAAACGACTTTATTCCCATGCAAATCTACAGGAGCTTCCTAAGTCCACAGTCTGTGCCTTCCCTTCCTATTCGCCCTGCAAAGCTATGGTGATGTATATTTTTCTGATAGTTTGAAAGACATTTGGAGAATTCCACTTTTCTTTCTCCACAATACAGTGATGGACATTGAGGAAGATACTGCACATTTGTTCACTCAGCACTCATTCCAACCTCTCCCAGTCTGCCTTTCTGTCTACTACAGGCTGGAAGGTAAAAGAATTGTATTTCCCATACTGTCTTGTGCTTAGGATCTGCATGTGACTTAAGCTCTACACCCACTCCCAGCCCACCCCAGTGACACGTGTGGAGGTGGAAGTGAGTAACCAGCTTGAGGCAACGGCTGAATTCTCAGTGAGACAGGCTTTTCCAATAACCACAGTGAGAGAAGCATGTGGGTTTCCCTGGGGTAGCTGTGGAAGCGTATCTGCCATCCAGTCCCTAACATCACAGGTGCCCCTAAGAACAATCTCCTGGTTTAGTCAGTCAGTTCTTCTGAATG